ACGTTTCGACAAGGTTTTGTCATCATCAGGTACAAATAGTTAACAACAAAAAATCAAGGAATCCATCTTAATTGAATAAAACAACCCTACTCTAAACCAATGCCCTGGGGTGCCAAGGTATCTCTTCAAAGTCGTGCAACTTGTGACCTCTCTGTTCCATACTGTATAGATATATCTGTGTCAGTGTAAACTACTTATACCTGATGATGACAAAACCTTGTCGAAACGTTGTATATTTGCTGTTATATTAAACTTATATTAAAGTTTGTCTTCATTACCCATTCAAGCTGTCTCCGAGCATGATTAGTTAAATGTAATTGATTAATGAGCTCACAGATTACTCCATCAGTAAATTCCACTAACTCTCCAGTTCTAATACAGTATACATACTTTTAAAAATGTGCACAAGTAAAAAAAACATATTGAGAAAGAAAAAGTAGTTGGAAATTCAATTACAAGCATGGAAAAACACAGATGATACACATACAGGAACCACAAACATATGCAATGGTAACCAGATGTTGAATTTATTAATGGTACTTAACATTTAGGAAATACCAAAGAAAAGCAAATAATTTTTACAATTCACTAGATATTTTGTATGTCAGTCCATTGCTTTACACAGAGCATTACACCTTGTTCTCATGCTGCTATAAAGTTTATCATTGTACAGTTGTAGAATATTGTTTCAGTGTCCTTTCTTTTGAACTTCTCAGTTTTATACAATCTCATTCAGCTTCAAGAATGTTCATAACAGGTTTTCTGCAGGCAAAGCCATGGTTGTGAGTATTCCATCAGCCTCTTTACCATCAAGATATTTCAACACAATTGCTACATGCTTGGGATCACTGTCTTACTGGAGATGAATCCCCATCCATGTTTCTGAATGAATATCATGATGAACTATAATCATACTGAACTTGGTCATCGGGGTTCTATCTGTTTTGTATACACCACCAATAATACTGGATGCAATTCACTTCCAAACTTATACTTATCTCCCACCATCCTTCACTGTAGACATTATAAAATGACTGAGATAATGTTCTCCTCTTCACTGTCAAATAAGTCATCAATAATTGATGCAGAACAATTTAAATTTGGATTCATCTGTAAGCAACATTCATTTCCAGCTTTACTCATTTCACTGTTTGCAGTTTGATGCCCATTTCAACCTTTTGGTTTGGTTAACCCTTTTTAGCAGCAGTTATTGTGCAGCAACATTACATACACACTGAAAACACTTTATGCTAATATGTATCTTACTAACCTTGGGGTAATATTCACACCTACTGGAAGGTTGTTGGCAAGATCTGTATTTGACATTGTTTATCTTGTAAATAATATCCCGAGATACTTGATACTACTTGTGCTTAAGTTTGGTTTTTATCTCAACCACTTCAATTAAGTTTCATTTACCCTCTTCAGTCTTGCATGCAGCTCCTACTGAAAAATGAAATCTTGTCAATTTTTGAGGTGAAGTATCCTCAACCAGCCAAAACATTGATTTCAACATGCTTATCATACAGTATTTCAGGTGGCAGTATACGAGGTGGCATTTTGGAAGTACTTGCCTTTTTATACACTCTTTCCAATACTGTAAACGTGCATAGAAAATTATAAAAATGTTCAAAATCTTGACATGGGCCAATTCATGTGTTTTGAATACTATTATAAGTTATAATTCAGTGAACTTTGAAAAAAAAATTACTAACTCTGGAAAATGCATAATTAACTTGATAATTTTGTATTAATTATTGTTTAAACTTACTTAATGACATTTGTTAATGGTGCAAAAAAATTAAAAACATTTAACAAGACATAAAAAATTATGGCAGTTACCTGGGTGCTGCATTTGTATTTAGTAACGATGTTGAGTAAAGAAAAAAATGAAGGTTTGAAAATGAAGTAAAAGCAAGTGTATGCTTATCAGTATGTGTGTGGAGTTTCTTGCATATGTTGTCGTCAAAGATGGAAAGCCAACAGTTCCTGTGATAATCACAAAGATTATAATGAATGTGTATTGGCCTCAATCAGTTATTTAAAAAATAGTCCACAGTTTTCTAAGCTATTACTGATGAATTGTGAAGACACTCTTCAAGACAGCTGCATCATTATCTCTTTTTGATTGAAGCTTGCATCTTACTATAGATGGGCTGAAGACTAAACAAGAATTTCAATAGCTAAAATGTGCTTTGGACAAGATTTTAGTGTTTACTGATACGAGACAAAACTATTCATTCATTCAGGATACAAGTGCAAGTAATAGTGGAACTGAAAAGTGTCATAGAAGTATGAAAATACAAGTGTGTAATCTTACACAACTGTTATAGTTTGATGGCTCCTGAATTCCAATACTTGATTAAAGAAAAGGTCTACTTACAGTTGCAGTATTTTTCAAACACTAATACCTCTACTTGTATGATAATAAGTTCAATATTTGAGTGAACAATACATCTAAGAAATAGCCAAGGAACATCACAAACCTAAATGGTAAGACTGCAAGTTTAATTGCTATACTGCAGGAGAACAATTTTTTTTTATAATAATTTCCACTGCAGCAACATGGTAATGCAGTTAAATTATGTGAAAAGATAATTACAACTTGTATATTCATTAAAAACTCAGATTCTGGTCACTGAGGAGTTGTTAAAGGCAATGATTTCAGCAACGGATGAGTAACATAAATGACAAATCAAGTGTGTCAGTAACAGCAACTGAAAGACAAACCAAGCTTGTGTACTATTTGTCATGCAGGAAAGTCTAACCGATACCTTTGCTTGTCAGGGAATACAGAACAAATGTACAAAACATCTGCTGCTTGTATTAGCAGTTATGAGTAAAGGATGATGTGCTGTATTGCTGCTATGAACTACATAGCATGGCTCCCAACAAGACAAGCTAAACATTCTGGGGTCCCCACGGCATGAAATACTTTCTGATCATTAATGATACCTTCACCAAATGAGCCAAAGCTTTTATGCTGGTTGACATTCAGTACCAACTGTCACTGCTGTGTTGGCTAAATAATGTATAACATAATTCAGACTACCTGTTAAAATCCAAGGGGATTAAAACTGCAAACTTCTTCAACAGTGGGCTAAGTGTAATGAAGAGTTCAAGTTCACCATCTTATCCTCAGACCATGAAATTAGAACATTAACTTTATAGCAAAAACAAAATGCCACCATACATGCATTAATTAAGATAATACCACTGCAACTGCTGTCATCTGTCATGAAGACTTAATAAACAAGAAGGGTACAAGACAAGCATTCTCATAATGGTAAAAAATGAAAAGTTCGTATTAGGTTTTATATTGATTATAGACATCTGATAAAATCCTAGACAATTTTCCATGTTAAACCTGAGACAAAACCTTATTCAAAACTAAACATTACTCATAAAAAAATTATATTGTTTAATGCTAGAAAAATACAATAAGACCCTTAACTTTGTTTTCAAACACTGATATTCTTCATTTTTCAAATAATGTAAAACTACAGTCTTTGCTCTGTTATAAACTTCACTCTTCCCTAAGATACTAAAATACATAGAATGAAACTACAATTGGTTTGACAGTGTGCACGTTATGTGTGCTAGTTCTGGTTTTGTATCACAATTTGATTATAACAAGTTTTATTAATTACACTAATACAGTGTAAAAGCTACAAAACAGGAAATTATCAATATTTTAATATTTCATGCAAACTGATACAGACACGTCAGAAGTGGAAACTAGATCTGTAATGTTACCTACCTACTTTTTTCATGGCAATTCCTCAAACAACTTGCATGTACCTGGCAAAATCATTTAAACAGACTGACATGAGAATTCAAAATAAATGTCAAGAGAGACAGTTGATAATTTGCATATTAAAATATAAATGTTAAAGGTTTTTTCTTAGGATGGCATTTTTTGGCATCATGCTTGAAGTTTACCATAAAATGCCACAGCTTTTCCAATGGTTTTGTTGTATGTCATTTTAATTTTGAAGACTGCATCCTCATTGTTGTGGTTCTGCTATATGCACTATACACACTGTCAAGCATATGAATCATGACTGATACAACTGTAAAAGACAATTAACATATATCTTAATGTTATACAGGGCAGAAAAGCAATGATCCACTGATAGTTTACCAAACTTAATCTTTCAATGAATATGATGGATGGTAACCTACAGAGGTAGGAGTGTACAAGATGACAGAAATGTGTGTAGAAGTTAAGATGTGTGCTAGTTAATGCACAAGTTTTCACATCAACAGATATTTAAAGTAACTAATTTGTCAACACTACAAGACAGTAAAAGAATGAAAGTTCTAATTTTGCAAGAAGAGTAGAAGCACTTCTATACTAACTGGACTAATCCTTGTTTCATACTTAAATAGTTCAATCCATCAAATTACAAACTCAATAGACATGTGGCACACAAAAGTATATTTAACAAATCCACAAGCTATATGACCTCTTGTGCACTGGCTGGACAGGAAGTGGATATCAGAACAAGTGGTGTGTCAGAAGACAGTGAAATCACTCTGTATTATCTCAATACAAATTATGACAAGGGCAGTGCAGCAAATACTCCTCTAATCATTCATGATGTAACAAAGAAAGATAAACTGATTATAAAAGAGTTTGAGAGGTCAGCAGTGGGTTTGACCTCCAAATTACTATGCCTGTCCAAACAGTTGGCAATGAGACCAGTTTACAGCTGTGCATGCCTGAGAAAACCTAAAAGCCATTAGGCTACACCATTCTTTACTGTTCAAATCTAAAGTATTAATTAGTATGGTAATTCTGTGAAACAGAACAACTGAAATCCATTAAATCACCACAAAAATGACAGTTATTATTCTTGAAGATTGTGAGAAATTTAAATAAAACTATAGACTGATTAGATTTTATAATCCTTGCATTATTATGGGTTTCCTGACCATCAGTTAAACAACAAGTCTACATGTAGTCAGCTAGTTAATGTTTTTTACTACTATCCAATTGTACCTGTCCTACAATAGTTTTGAGTATATTAGTAAACATTGTAGCAGACAGCACAAACAGTGATATAAGTTAATTACAGCGGGAAAGCAAGTGCTGTTGAATTTCATCTGTGATTACAATATTTTATGCAATTGTAAATATGTTGAATTTCTCAGCTCATAGCTGATGTGTGGTAACTGAGGGCATGTTACAGTGCTTGTTGTCAGTCATGATGGTGGAAGTGTTTACTGTAGTTACCTTATGTTAGTCATGGGACAGATTTTGTTATATACTGTACACAAACACACATACTTTTTAAATAGCATGCTGTCAGATTTGACCTTTGACCACCTTCAAAACCCTGGATAAAATGTTGTCTGTTCCTGGTGCCTTATTTTTAATCTCTGTCTTTCTACTTACCAAAAAAAGTTTAACATTTAAACAATTCAGGTCAATTTTAGTATTTCCCATACAATGCTCAGAATCATGGATACTGCTAATGTCTTCTCTTGTAAGAAAATGAAACACCCAAAAACTCTTAGACATCAATGAAAACCTTGCCAAGGGCCCAATCCCCTTTTTTAATATTTAGCTTACTTTTAATATACACAAAACTTTCCTTGCTGTTAGTTTCAGCATTATCAGCAGGACTGAATTTAGCTATTGGTGAGTTAGGCAACCACCTAGGGCCCTGACTCAGTGATGGAAAAAGTAAAAAATGTTCTAAGAAAAATCAATTTTATAGTCTTCATTCAATTGATTATAAACATTGAAATGTATAGATTATTTAACTTTTCTATTTAACTCTGCATCTATTATGTACTTTGCACTACAATATCTTAATGTTGAGTCCTCAAATGATTAATTATTCATGATCATATTCTCAATAAAGAATGATGTTTTGTGAGCATGCATGCATATAACAGTATTTCATGGGGCTCTGTAGCTAGTTTTGTGTCAGCCAATACAGATTCACCTTGACTATTGTCAAGGCAAAGACTTGTATTTTGTGCAATCTATGTTCTGGCTCGAACATACTGGCCAAAATGAGAGAATCAGTGGGTTTTGCAAAACATAGGATTCAAATAAGTTCTAAAAAAAGAAAATTCTACAATATTTCTAATATTCATCCCTAGATATAAGGAACAGCTGTGTGTTCTTTAAAAGTTGTTCATACAATGAAATTCTGTATTGCAAAATCCATTTTCCCATAGATTCCCATTACATAATTGGAGATGTATTCCTACAGGAAAAATTTTGCTCTCAAGACAAATAAAAACACAATTATGAATGTGGAAAAACTGTTTTAAACAAATATTTAATATCAATAGTTTAATCAAATAGGAATGATGCTGGATGTGTCAAGAAGTTACTTTTCTATTCAACCACACTATTAGAAAAATAAAATTTTATTGGCTGAAGATAACTCCTACCTCGCCAAAATTTACATTTGTATCCAGCCATTCTCACCATTAAGTACAAAAAAACGATGATGCATCAACATTATCAGTTCCATAATATTAACAATCTTAAATACCCCAATCAGATCCCCTCTAACTCTTCTTTTTTCAAGTGAAAACAATTTCAGAAATCTTAACCTGTCATCATACAACAACCATTCAATCCCAAGTATCATCCTAATAGCCCTTCTATGAATCCTTTCCAAGAATTCAATGTCCTTCCTTAGGTTAGAACTTGTAAGCCCAAGACAGAACACAATACTACAAATTAGGCCTATTAGGCCTAACCATGACATCTACAAGATGATGATAATCTCTTTAGCCTTTAGTTTAGGGTTACATTCATTATTTCTGTAGATACAATCTAAAACCCTATTTGTTCTACCAGTACCATAACAGTAACAATATTACAATGCTTGGAAGGCTTAAGACTGATACTTACTAATACTAGTAGAACTAACAATACTTTGCTTTAGGCCTATGATTAATACTAATACTCTAATATATATATATATACTAATACAGCCGTATCACGTACTACAAGTTACAACTTACTTAGTAAATTAGTACAACCTAAGTAGTACTACTACTAGTGAAGTACTAACTTGTGAAGTAGACAAAACAGTATTAATGATACTAATACTGCAAACACGAAACCTAAAAGTATTGTACTAGCGTTATGAACTATCTAATATTATTTACATTGTAATTAAAGTTTAAAGTGGGTTCCTAGCAATGAAAGTATACATTGTTAATAACATTAACAATGTTAATTGTTATGAATGATAACGCCGGGCCACAAGCAGGTTGAAACAACAGTCAAAAAATGTACTGTTACAAAATACAACCTCACCACTATAATTAAAATAATTTTACAGACAACAATTAAAATACGTTATTTTGGTAACACCAAGCTTACCTTTAACTTAAAAATTCAAGTTACGACTAATAAAAAAAATCTTAACTGCACTACATTTAAAATGGCCGTAGGACACGACGATAACATTTAACAGCAATTGCGGTTGCCATCTATAGTATAGTTTAAAAAGTAACGGAAAATTAAAAATACCAGAAAATTGCAAGATAAGTTCAGGTTACAGTGATTCAATTAGTAAATCAAACTAGAAATTTACAGATAACAAAATAAAAAAACTTCAGAAAAGAAGTATTTGTGCAATACCAAAACAGAGAGAATGTGGTCATATAGTAACAAAAACTATAAATTTCATTTTACTAAGATTTAAAAATTCTATAAACTGTATTTAGTATGCTCTAAAGCAAAAAGATGTATTATAGCAGGATAGGTCGTGGACAAATGGTTGACGAGCCCGAAATGTAAATCCATAGGTTTATGGTTCGCATCTCAATGCCGCATAAGTACGCTTTACAGTTTGGTACTCCGGGTGACTATAAGAGTGACGATCATATCACACAATTCGATCAGATAAGAATGTGTTATATTAAAGTAAAACTGGATTAACTTTAGCGCTTAATGACAGAAGATTCGGACAAGATACAGGTTACAAAGCAATACTGAATCTCAGAGTCATTGAATCGTAAAAGTTGTTGCGTCAGCGAGTCACATGACTACCGTGACGCCACGTTCTAGAACTATCGTGTACTTTGGCGAATGCTCTAGTATTTACTAGATAGGGTAGGCTGGTATATATAAGAGGGGTACAACGTGACACGGTAATGTAATGTGTGTGTAGATAGT